CGAAATTCTGAAGGCTTCTAGCACATTTCCAATTGATAGTTGATCAATTGTTATCATTATCTTGTGCTAAAGAGCCTGGTAGATCAGCATGGGGATGATTTCTAGTCTGACTACTTGTTACAGTTGAATACACAACAAAGTTAATTCTGAAACATTTTGGATAAGTTCAGCAGTCTAAATATATAAAACAACTCTTTTGCATATTCAGAGTCAGTAACTATATTAAAAGCTTCTGGGAAATCTAATAATACTATGAGAATGGCATATAATTCTGATTTTTGAACTGAATTATAAGGGCTTTGAGCCATTTTACTTATTTTTCCAGACATAACATGACTCTACTGATTTATTTGTATCACTATAGAAAGCAGGGACTCCAGAAATAACTGTTTCCTTTATTATATAAGGGAGAATTATTTATTTTTATAAACTTAAGTCTCTTATTTTGGGGGTATTTGTTGCTAATCTCTACCAAAGTATTACTGCAAATTCTTTGCCAGTGTTCATTTTCTGCCCATAATGATGTCATTCGCATTACTTAAAAGGTACCACAATTTCTGCTGGGTCTATTCCTGGAGAATGACTAGATGGTAGAATTACAAGGACACAATCCAGCTCCGTGGTTTCTTTTCTATCAGGGACAATTCTCTCTCAGCCTCAGCAGATAATTTTCTTGGACTCTTTAAGCCCTTATGACCTTGTAAGGTTTGAAATAAAGTTACATAGTTCTTCAGTGGTTAATTCAGTTGTGGTCCATAGCCAGTTCATATATCCCAGCAACTTTTGAAAAGCATCAAGAGTTCGTAATTGCACTCCCCTGGTTTGTAATTTCTGTGGTTGAACTTTCTGTAAACCTATCTTATATCCTAGGTAATTAAAGAATCTCCTCTTTGTATTTTTTTTTTCAGGAACAATTTGTATTCCTGGTAATTGATGAATTCTCATTTTTCCTTTCAGAATCAATGCAGAAACCTCTTCTACTCTGATCTTATTTTTTATTGTTTGTGTGGTGAAAACATCCATTCTAGGATATTATCTTCTCTCTGCCTAAAAATTCCTGGAGGAGAATGAGTAGATGGTAGAATCTCAAGGACACAAACCAGCAACAAGGTGAAATTCTATTCATCAAACATTTTTTCTAAGGTATCTGTGCCTGAATCAGCTAGTAAGATAAACCCAACTATGGAAAGTTATAGATTGAGGAAACAATTGATGAATTATATCTAATGGCTGTTGCACAAAATATTGACACTAAGTGGGGCTGTTTATCACTCCTTGAGGCAAGACCCTCCACTAGTATCTTCTAACAGGTTGAGAATTTTAAGTGGGCACTGTGAAGACAAATTTTTCTCTATTCTGTTCTTGCAAAGGTATAGTAAAACAAAACAAAAAACCAGTCTTTTAAATCAAACATAATAGACCATCCCTTAGGTTAATAAGAAAGGCAAGGGAATTCCATGCTTTAAAATTCCATTTAAGCAGATTTGAATAGATCCACTGGCTGATGATTCACCTTATTTACAGCTCTCAGATGTATTACCATTCTTCATTTTCAGATTTCTTTTTAATGACAAATGGAGAATTCCAAGAACTAATCGAGCTGTTCCTGTACCAGCTGTTACAGTGCCTGTACTTTTTCCAATGTCAAAGGCCATCGTTTCACCCACACAGGTTTGTCATTCATTTTAAAGGTAGGGCTGTTGGAATCTTTGAAAGACTAACAGTTGTGCCTAGCTTATGTACAACCTGAACAGTTTGTGACTGTTCTTAATAACACCTTCTAATATTTTTCTTTCAAGCATACATTCATTTAAGGTTTGCTTCTGAGATTGGAGGAATATTAACCTGTATTTTCCATCACTGTAACAAATTATATGGCCAAAATTCTATTGCTATGTTAGTCACATATGGCTTTAATTTCCCTATCTGTCCTTCTGGCCCTATATACTCAACCCAACCTTGTACTTTATTTTACCTGAGATAAATTCCAATCCCTGGAAGATGAATATTTATCTCTTGAACATGGCAAGTTTGGAGAAATTGTTAACACCTACGCCTACGTTTATGAAACCTTCAATTAGAATGCCATTTATTTCTAGCTTTGATATTTTATCATTTATAGAAGTTTTCCAAAATATTTGTTTTATGGTCTCTACCAAATTTTTTATCTGTTGAAGCTATTTTGTCCTTGATCACATCCAGAGCAGTATGGTTTTTAACAAAAGGCATTAAATCTTTTAATTGCTCGGTGGATGAATTTCTCCAATGCTGACAAGTAATGATTGAACTTAATTTGATATTGGAGCTTGTGGGAGCATTCCCTAAGGAAAAAGAGCTACCCTATCTGTTCCTGATTGATCAACATCCATCGGTCAAATGCTAGCTGTGCCACATCTTCTGCATACTCCAGAAGCATGTACTCCATGTCCAGCTGGAAAAACATTCTAGGGGGTTGTTAATAGACTACATAAACAATAAATTGAAGAAAGCATTGTGTTGACTGTTACTCAGGAATTTTTTGGAAATCATGAAAAGAGTCAACAATTTTACATGAAGTTGTAGTAAAAAGTAATTAACACAATCACAGTACTGAAAATCACAAAAGCTTTTGACTAGACATTTAAATTTTTATTTTCATTAAAACTGTGAAAAGAGGTTCATAACACATAGATGTTTATGCAACTTTAGGAAAGTAAGTTTCTTATGGCCCAAAGTGACTATTCTACTTTATCCCTTTCATATTGTGTAGCTAGATTCCCTTAAATCAACCAGGTTTCTCTATGTGATACAGTGGCAGTATTTGCTGATACAATTTTAGAAAATGTCATTTACTACACACAGGAAGTTAATCTAATCATGTGAAATAAATTCAATAGTGTTCTAAACGTAAGAAACGAAGAACTGATTTTTAACTCTGTTCAGAATTTACAATTTCTAACTGAACATTTTTCCCTATGGAAGAATAAATTCAGAAAAATCAATATTTACAAAGCTAACAAGGAAATATAAAGAACTGAAAAGATAAGTAGATGCATTCAACAAAGATTTTTATTTTAATTATCCACAAAACAATATTACAACATTTTAGAAAAATATTAAGTTTAGGTTACCATTGTTTATGTAAAAAAGGTGTTTGTGCTAGAAGGCTGCTTTTGCCAACTTTTCTTTTTTGGTAAGGGTTAAAAGTTCCAAGTTAAGACAATAAAGATGAAAGCTGTTGAAAAAAAATCTTCAATGTACAAAACTTTCTCTTTTTTGACAATTTAAAAATACATAACAATTTAAACTGAATACACATTAAGTTAGTGTTGTACCCTCACTATACAAGTGTTATTATAAGAACTACTCCATTCATTTAAAATCTAAAGAATGCCATCAGCTTTCCCTGTCTTATTTTTCTGATCAGAATTAGTAGATAAACACAATTTTATTACCCTTTAGAGAATGCTTAAGAAAACTATAATACCATAGTTCACATGAAGCCCTTTAAAATACTCATGTCACAAACTGTAGACATCAGGGCAAATAAGGACAACACTTTTCTTAAGAGACCCTATTGGCAGAGGATTCAGTACTGAATAGGTTAAGTAAAAAGAAAACAAATACAACTTTTAGTACCAGAACTTTTGCCAACTTGCATGAAGTTCACTTGTCACATTTAAAAAGGTTTAAATTTGAACATAATTTACTATGGCACAGATCTTTAAATTTAGTGATTAAATGATGGTAGTTTAAAATTACATGCATAAGAGAGAGTGATACAATGTTTTAAAGTGTAATTATAAAATACAGCATTTAAAAACATAAATACTACACTTTTATTTAGCAGACTCAGTTTCCCCCTTGCCTGACCTTTAAACCATTAACACTACTCAATTCAAATTAGTATTTCATAATTTCTGAGTTAGAAAAAGTCATTTTGAATGTTTTACTTCTACAATTTAAATGGGCAAAAAATTCCCCCTTTATTGTTAACTCAGAGTAAGTATTCTTCCTCAAATTAATCATATGATGAAAGAAAAATATGACAATCACCAAGTATATTTGAAATGTAAGGGCAGTTTCAGAGATTTGAAAACTGGAATTCTAAAAAGGTTCTGTATAAAACTGGGTCACTGAGATTAGTGCTAAGCCTTATTTCACTATTTTGAGGATGTAAAACTTAGTGTATATGTTAAGAAAAATGAGTTTTACAGTCATACTTTATAACTTTTAAAGCCTAGGAAACAGCTAATGAGGAGCTCTGAGTGTCAGCAAAGCCATGTTGTCACTCCACAACACCAACATTAAACATTCCATCTCATCCAAATACCTGTAAAACTTTCACATTTTCTTCTCTCATATTTATTTAAATACATTTTCCTCTCTCCTATTCTATACTTAATACAAGCAAAGTGCATACAAGTCCCTGATCTAGTGATGTTTTCTATTTGTGGAGACCATCACCATAAAAACATACTAAGCAACACCTTACAGTACTCCTTCTATTTTTTTTTTAATGGACTTCTTATATGCTGGATTTTTATTTCTATGCTATGAAAATATTAAAAGATTTTACCTTGGACTGGATAGTAAATTTTACTGGTACATTGCCTTAAAAATATCAATACAACCTTATAAAAGATTAACTCACTTTCTGATTACCTTCATTATTCTAAGTTGAACAATTCAAGAAATGAATAAATTTAAAAAAAAATGTCTGCTTTCCAGTTCTATGAACAAAGTATGAAAATAGTGTATTATGCTTCCAAATTCCATGGCTGTGGTTTAACATTTAATCAAGGTTTTGATGATATTTATAACCCATTTTTTTAGTTTTGGAAGACTTGGCCCATTCCATACAAAAGGAGGCCTGTGTTAAGACTGCACACCAACTGTTAAAGAGAGGAGGGAAAAAAAAAAAAAAAAAAAAAAAAAAAAAACTTTTGAGGGGAAAAAAAAGATTTTTTTTTTTTTTAAAAACTGGAATGGAATTATTTGGTCCCATGAAATTCTTTGATTTTAGATTTTACTGTGGTATAACAGTCCAAGTTTTGTCCACATCAATAAATAGTTTTCCCTTAGCCATTCTGAATTTTGGAAGAAAAGTAAGCGATTAGTAAACAGTAGTCTTGTTGCTCTTTCTTACCATGCTATCACCCACACAGTCACAATATCTTAGCTTGACTTTCTTTGGACCCTGAAGCAAGTTGTAAGATGGATCATTGGTACTTTAGAGTTTAACACTTGGGAAAAAAAGTGGTTTTGTGCAACCATATCTGGAATTCCAGTTTACCATAAGAATCACGCAGAGTGAAGAGTATCTTCTCATTCCTGTGCATTCGGAACTCACACGAGGTCTTTATGTTTTGGCAGATCTGTGCACACAGGCTACTTGGATTATAAATTTTCTCCTGGTTGGTACTGTGGTTCTGTAGCAGTGAAGTAGTCTTCCAAGAAAGACTGAATATATTCAAATGTTGGTCTCTCATCAGGGTCCTTCTTCCAACAAAGATTCATCAATTCATGGAGGGACTCTGGGCAGCCCTGAGGGCAAGGCATCCGGTACCCTCGCTCTACTTGTTCCAGAACTTCCCGATTTACCATACCTAGGGTCAAGATTCAAAAATTAAAAATAATGGTCCTAGTCATGAATAGTAAAACAGAGTGAATATCATAGCCACTAAATCAAGACATACCAAGTATATCTAGTGAAAAGACATTTTCAATGGAGAACGGAATAAAATTTTAATATCAATTTATTATAAAGAAAAGCTGAAAAGTGATAATCTGTATTTTAATATGACCAATTTTTCATTCCATTTAAACTTTTACCTGTAACATAGTATCTTTAAATGCCAAATAAATCTGACTGAGAATTTAGGGTAGACTGGTATTTTTCTATTAACATTTAATAACTCCAACTTGAGCTAATGAGGAATTGCAAGTGAATTAGGAGAAAACTATTTTTTTTTTTTTTTTTGTATATACTAACTACATAACTATTTCAAATCACTACCCTGAGTTTCTTTATCTATTTATCACCTATTTGGATTTGTTTTACTACACAGTTCATTTTTTTTTCCTTTTGTAAGTTCCGTCCCATGATTGATGACTTACTATGCACTGCCCTGAGCTAGCAAGTGCACTCTTACTAAATTTCTCTTAACACCATCTCATTGTGACAGTATAATCACCTAGGAGAAAGCCTCTGGGCATGGCTGTGAAGGATTTTCTACATTGAGATAAGTCTCTAGGCAGACCCATGAAGGATTATCTAGGCTAGGTTCTTTGAGGTGGGAAGGCCAATTCAACTGTGTGTAGCACCATTCCATGAGCTGGGGTCTTGGACTGAATATAAAGGAGAAAGAACTGAACTCTAGCATTCATCTCTCTCTGCTTCTTGAGTAGATACAGTGAGATTAGTGTCATATGCTTCTACAGTCACGATTAATTGCTATGATGGGTTAGTACCTTCAACTGTGAGCTAAAAACAGCCTTATCTTTCTTCCTTAAGTCAGGCATTCTGTTTCAGCAACATGTAAAGTAACTAATATACTTGTCAAGTCAGCCTTGATTTTTTTTCCCCACATCCCATTATCACCTTCCCTGCCAGCCAAGATAGGCTATCCCTTATTTCGTGTGATCTTATGCTGACCACCAGCAGTAAGATTGTTCACTGACTATGATTACTTTAAAACAATGAAACATGATAAAACTATTTCCATTTTTAGTTATGACTTTCTAAGGAGTGAGGGAATTCTCAAAATAATTAAAACCTTAAAAACTGAAGGAGAATGTTTTCATTAAAGAAAATAGCATGTCTTAGTGAAATCCAATATATTTTCCTGCTACAGAAATAAAGCCAGAAGTTGTTAAGACACATGCAGAAGAACCAAATATTTAACATTCAATGAGGGCCTTAATGTAACTAGAGACCTTTTGTTACTGATCATATATGCCTATGAATTCTTGTACTTCTTAACAGACTATTATTAATTGACTAATATTAATTAATCTAAATAAGCCTGAACCTATAAAACCAACTTTACCAATTACTTCCCACTTTTTTGGGGTGTGTTCGTGCCAGAGACAGAGCCTAGGACCCTTTTCTTTTTAAAGATGCATTGTATTTCTAATTGTGTGTGTGTATGTATGTATGTATATGAGAGGAGCAAGGAACAGAAAGGGACGGGGAGGAGGAGAGAGGGAGAAAACAAGAACTTGCAGGGTACACAAGAGGCATTGGAACTTCTGGAGCTGAAGATACAGGTTATTGTCTCGCATGATGTGGGACATGGGACCTGGGATCTGAGCTCCAGTTCTCTTAAGCACTATCTCTATGGTTTCTGAACCCAGGGACTTATATATACTAAATACATGCTCTACCACTGAACTATACTTCAGTATCAATTCCTAACAACTCTTTCATTCAATATATGACCCTTCATATTTTCCTGATAATCACAAATACTTGACAGTTTTTATGCCAACAGATTTAAAAGTAAAGCATGGCAGAAATGGCTTCCACTTAATCTACCATTTCCTACGGAAGCACTCCTAAGATTCTGAGTAAGACATAACTCTGGAACATGACAAGAAGCCAATTCTTTCATACCTGCTCTTTATTAAAAAGATAAAAAGACTCTAACACTTAATACTTAGAACAGATAGCAATGGCTTTGTATTCTGTCAATGAAGTATTTTATTATTGCTTATATTTGTTGAGGATATTTTGCTAAAACAGTAACAAATAGAAACTGCTGGTGCTGCATGTTAATCCTCTTCAGAACCAAAGATGAACAACACACTATCCTTTTCTGTTTTGAAGCCTGGAAATCTAGGGGCTGAAATGGTAGGTAGCTCAATGGTAGAGTGCTGGATTAGCACATACATAGTCCTAGGTCCATTCCCTAGCACTTCCCTGCCAAAATTAAAAGAAAATCTACAAATTATTTATATTCTGCTTCTTAGCTGCATATGTACTATATACTTACAGATATGTAATTTGTTATATATTTTTGGACTTTTTTGTTTCCCTGTTCAACTAACCCTGTTATCATTATTCAATGATCATTTATTTGTTCTCTAGTAATATGTTTTACGTTAAAGTCCACAGTTACACAGGTTTTCTTTTGGAAAGCCCCCATTTTAAGTGTTTAATTTTCTAAGAGTTGCCCTGGACATGCTATCTCTTCACAAGAATACAATAACTACAACATGGCTCTTTTCCCCCACATATCAACAGTCCTCAACCCGTGGGTTGTGACCCTTTTGGGGGCTAAATGACCCTTTCATAGGGTCACTCATCAGATATCCTGCATATCAGATATTTATATATCAATTCATAACAGTAGCAAAATAGTTATGAAGTGGTGGAGGTCACCACAATATGAGGAACTGTATTAAAAGGTCACAGCATTAGAAAGGTTGAGAACCACTGCACTAAATAACTTTGCCTTTATTTTTCTTTCATAGAATACAAATTTTTGTACCAACATCTATTTTATGTGACATTCTAAATCACACACTATGGATTATTTCTTTTTCTTCAAGACATTAGGTTTTATTTTAACAGTAAATTTACTGTCAAATCACCTGGTTCTTACTTGGCAAGACCTAGCTTTAGGTTTTCTTTAGTTTTACCTTTTCTACTAGAGAACTGCTGTCAGAACACAGTCCAGGAATGGAGTTCTGAGGAGAATTCTGAGTGCTCATGAGAATGCTCCACGAAAACAAGATAAGATTCTTGTGACCTCAGTTTCTTCAAAAACACAAAATTATTCTTTGGATATATTTCTGTGCTTCTCCTGGGTGTGCTCCTCCAAGGTGTAGCACAGGAGTGAATTCTCTTTGGATAACTCATTATTGCTTGCTGCTGTTTAAACTTTGCTTTATATGCTTCTGTGTAGGTGAAGGTTAGGAGGACCTACTGAAAAAGGATTTTATAATGCAGAATTTCAGAGTTCTTTTTCTGGGGCTCCTTCCCTTTTTAGGAGCACTTGTATGTCTTTCTTCTTTGTTTAGAAACAAACAGACAAAAAAAAACAAACAAAAAAAACAAACAACAACAACAACAAAAAAAAAAACTGATGTCTTCATTTGGACTTCATCAATATGCCCACTCAGAAAATGTTGGGGAGAAACATGATATAAATGTAGGTCTCATTAAAATAAATAAATAAATAAATAAATAAATAGAGATTGCATTCTTCCTTGGTGGCTGTGAAATACAAAAACAACTGTATTGTGTATCTGTCTAATTCTATAGTTGTTTCTAGTGACATAGTAGATATTAGATTCTCTATTGTGGCTAAAACAGAAAGTATACCATGATTAAAACTTCAAAGTGAATTGAGTTAATATAATTGTTTTTTCATCTCCTCCTATATTTGCTGATATACAGAAAATAGAACTAGATTTTATCCAGCATTATGATTGAAGTAGTAATAAACTAAAAGAAAGACAAAGGATAAAGTAAACCCAAGGAAGTAATCATACTGCTTGACTGTAAAATTTAAAGTACAAAGGGGTTTCAGGAAGAGTGAGAATGGCAAAGTTGGTACTAATACATTAAAGATCTTGGTAGTATCAAGAAATTGCTAAAGCTGGGTAGAAATTGTGGTAATGAGAGGAATGCAGTTATAGGTAATGTTAAGGTTGAAAGTGCGAGAATGACAAAATCACAGGCAGAAAATGCCCAAGCTGTGACAGATTCGAATGGGAAGAACCACTGACACATGTATTGAGATGACTATTGTGTCTTTGGTATGTAGGTAATTTTCAGATTCATGAGATCCCATTTATTATTTGCTAATTTTAGTGCCTGTGCTATTGTTGTCATGTTCATTCCTGTGCCAATGAGTTCAAACATTTTCCTTACTTTCTATTCTATTAAATTCAGGGTATCAGGTCTTCTGTTGAGGTCCTTGATCCATCTGGAGTTTTGTGCAGGGTGATAACATAAGGATCTATTTGGATTCTTCTACATGGAGCCATTCAGTTTGACCAGTACTATTTGTTAAAGATTCTGCCTTTTCTCCAGTGTGCACTTTTAGCTTCTTTGTCAAAAATCAGGTGTCTGTAGGTATGTGGAATTTAGGTCTTCAAAATAAAAACAATCTAAATAGTCATCAAATATTAGGGGAGACAATATCTGGAGAGTCTTGTATGGACCCACAAGGCACCTTGAGCAAGCCTGAGCTATTGACTGGAACATTCAGCAGTCTTAGCTGGAACATCTTGCACCACAGTAGTTATTGATACTCTTCCTGATTTACACATCTGTTGGGGAGGAACTAAGCTGGAGAACTTGTAGACTTGACTCTGAATTGTTTTCCACTGTGCTGTGAGTCAGTATATAAGCCCACTCCTTCTCCTCAATAAATGGCATTCCTGTTGGGAATAACTTACTGTCTTGTCTCTTATTTAAATCTCTAGGCCTTTGCCCAACTAGACATCTTATTAACTCCAAGTAACACCACCAATGCCAGGAATGTTGATGTGGACCAAAGGAGTCCCATAGAAACACTACCATCAAATATCACAGGCCAAGGCTGTTGGTTGTTCTCTACAACCTAATGGTAAGGCCCTACTTCAGGAAAAAACAAAACAAAACAAAACAACAACAAAAGCCCCAAAAGAAAAAAAAAAAAAAAAAAAGAAAAAGAAAAAGAAACAACCACTCATGATACTAAACACAGAGAAATTGAGCTGGTGTCTAACTAGAAGCTTTAGCCCTACTGATCAGTATTCATGGTGCTGGAAGGTACTCTGTATGCACTGGAAGAGAAAGGTCATCAATATCATTCAGTTACCTACAATAGCAACTGACTGCAAGACACACTGGTGCAATAGTGTCACAAATGCCTACAATGTTATATATACATGGGATGTCTTTATCAAAGTCCTCCCCTTAAGGTTCAGGGGTTGATTCAGAGGAGGAAGCAGAAAGATTGTAATAGCTAGAGGTGATAGTTGACTCCAAGAAAACACTGTCTTCCAGATATGCGCTCACAGAGACTGTGGTTAATAAACAAGATATACACAAGTTCAAGCTAGATGGGGTCCTAGCACTGAAAGTAGAAAGTAGGCAGAGCATCAATAAGGTAATTTCAACTGAAGACCTGAAAACAAAGAGAAACATCAGTTTTCTCTAATTGAGTGTCACTTTGTGTATCAACAACACTCCAGGGCAGACCTTGTGCCCAGAAGTACTTTGCAAACACAAAACAAACTCAATGATATTTCTGTAACTTTTTTCAAGACAGGGATATTCTGTGTATCCCAAAACTAGCTCTGTAGACCAGGCTAGCACTGAACTTAAGAGATTCACCTACCACTGTGCTTAACCAAGTGCTGAGAATAAAGGCCCTGTGTGGCACTCTTTTGTTTGTTTGTTTGTTTTATTGGTCTTTTGCTTTGATTTTCACTTTTGTGGGTTGTTTTTTCTTTTTTTGAAAGAGTGGAAAACAAAGATGGGTGGATAGAATGGTAGGAAGGATCTGGGACAATTTTGGAGGAGGGAAAAAAATGATAAAATATATTGTATGAAAAGCTAGGCAGTGGTGGTGGAGAATGCCTTGAATCCCAACATTTGAGAGACAGAGACAGGAAGATCTCTGAGTTAGAGGCCAGCTACAGAGTAAGTTCCAGGACAGTTAGGACTATACAGAGAAACCCTGTCTCAAAAAACCGTGTGTGTGTGTGTGTGTGTGTGTGTGTGTGTGTGTGTGTGTGTGTGTGTGTGTGTAATGAAAAAATTTAGTATAAAAAAAAAGGTTAAGGATTAATTAAGACAGGAATGGATTATTATTGGACAGGGTGATGTGGAATGGCCATTAAGTGAGAAGAACTTGTATGGCTAAGTGTCAGCACATAATGATAGAATGTGGACCATGAATGTGACAACACTAGATATATAGCTGCAAGTAATAAGGAATGGCCCGTAAGAGAAGATCATTATAGTAATTCTTCCCAATGATTGGATTTTCTATGCTTTCAAATTCCTCAACTGTTAGGATCCCTCAGTGGACATGTTTGAGAGGTAACAAGTTGATGGTCTATTCAATTATGTTGAATTTCAATTATGTTAAAATTTCTTCTTGCTCCCAAAAACCTCTATCAATATCTTAATTTCTTGAGTAAAATAGTTTGTTTTTCCTCTAATTACTAAGGAGGAAACAATGCTTCTCAAAACAATCTTTTGAGTCTAGAATATCTTACTTCTAGAAAAGAATAGTTACTTGGAGGGCCGATGTAACCTAGGATATTTAAGATATGCTGCTGATATGAGAATACAAAACATGTAAAAGGCTTTTTTTGGAAAACATCCTAGAGGCGAAAGCCCAAGTGAATGTACGACACACTGCCTGTGCTTGCTCAAGGATTCCAGCTCTCATGGATTGCTACATATCCAGTACCAAAATAAAGGGGCAGGAAAGAAGAAATAAAGTCTCTGTCCCTCACAATTTTGCAGAGTGTACCTCTCATTGAAGTCTATGTTGAGATAACTAAAGAGCTAGAAAAACATAAGCTTACCTGGGTATGGCACTCTCCCCTTTGTTACCAGTTCTGTCTGTAGAATTCCAAATGACCACACATCTGACTTTATCGTAAACCGACCATATAGTGCAGCCTCAGGAGCCGTCCACTTGATTGGAAATTTTGCACCTAAAAATATTGGCAATCTTAAATATTTTTAAAAAGTCTATTTATGTAAGTGTAAGGTACACAATTCTAATCTCTGTCAATATCCCAATTCTGTATGTTGTAAGTTTAAGTCTTCAGACACAGAAAATATATGGAAAAACTGCATTGACTTTAAATTTTTAAATTAAATCTGTTTTTTTCTTATATTTAATGATACAAAAAGTTGCTAGTAAGAATAGTTCATGATCCAATAAAACAGCAGTAGAAGTTTTAATAAGACAAAAACACGAATTATAATATTAGAAACTTGGATGCAGGGAGTACATGGGATCTTGATCTGTATTAATCTTAGGCTAGTCTTAAATTCTCACAATCCTGGCCAGGTGGGCATGGTGGTGTACCCCTTTAATCCCAGCACTCAGGAGGCAGAGGCAGGTGATCTCAGTGAGTTCAAGAGCAGCCTGGTCTACAGAGCAAGTTCCAGTATAGCCAGGGTTACAAAGAGAACCCATGTCTTGAAAGAAAAAAAAAAAAAAAAAAAAAAAAAAAGGAGGGAGAAAATTTTTTTTCTTATAATCCTGTATCATCCTCCTGAAAACTGGGATTACAAACATTTGCTAAATCTGTTACTGTTGTGTGTGTAAAATATGTGATGAACAAAGATTAAAACTTCATGCATGAGTCTCTCTCCCTCTGTCTGGCTTTTTGAGAAAGGGTCAGTTGGTCTCTAACCTGCTATCTACTGGAGAATGACCATGAACTCCTGATCCTTCTGCCTCCAACTTACATGTGCTAGACTTAGAGACATGAAACACTACACTATTAAAGTCTACAACTTTAAATTCACTTAATGTCCATTGGCTGTAGCCAATTATGTTTGAAGACCTATTCTGGGTCTAATGGCTACTGTGTCTCATAATCTTTTCTACAATTTTGTGCTATTATGTTTTTTTTTTTTTTTTTTTTTTTTTACTGTGTGTTTGTGTGTGTACACATGTGACATGGCACTTGTATGGAATTGGCTCTACTTTTCTACCTTTCCATGGATTCTAAAGATCAAACTCAGGATATCAGGCTTGAGTTAACAAGCATATCTGCCAGATGAATTCACTGGACTAGCCCTCATGTTATCATTTTTAAAATGCCATGTTAATTTACATAAATACTTAGTGAATGAATTTAATATACAAGCATTTTGCTAATTATTATGGATAAACAAGCAACATAGTTTTCATGAAATCTGTGTAATAAAATTATAAGTGATGTATATACTTGAAGTGATTTTATGTATGTGTTTATATATGTTGCAAAATATGAGTTCTTAGATATTATGAAATATAGTTCAATTTTCACTTGTCACAATAACAAGGCTTCATTAAAAAGTAGCCACCAAATTTAGCCTTAAACAAATGGTTAGGATTTTCTAAGTAAGGACTACAGAATGTATGACTGGAGGAAGTAGAAGTAGGGTACAGACAGAAAAGAAGTGGAGAGGGTGGTGAGACGACTCAGTAGCTAAGGACACCAGCAGCTCTTCAAAAGGACCCAGACTTGATCCTCAGTACCTACATGGTAGCTGACATCCATCTGTCACTCCACTTCTAGTGGATTTGACACCTCTTCTAGCTTCCACAGGAACTACATGCATGTAGTGCACTTACATGTTTTTTTTTTTTTTTTTTTTTTTTAAAAAATTTGGCAATGCTAGCTATTTTGGGCATGGTAATTATTTTGTGTGTATGTGATTATTATGTTGTATGTTACAGCATGTTTAGTAGTATTTTAGCTTCTACCTTCCAGATGATGACAGTAGTTCACAAATTGGAACAACAACAAAATGTTTCTAGAAATATCTGTTTCCTTGGAGTAGGAAGAGATAATGGTTGACTGGGAACCACCTCCAATCTAAGACAATAGTTTAAATAAACAGCTCACCAAGTCTGTTTGTTTCTTTTAAATCAGAAAACATTTATCTGAGACAAGGGAAATAGCTCAGTGTGTCAAGTGCTTGCTGCTCCTGAGGACTTGAGTTTGGATTCCCAGAACCCATATCTCATGTAATCTGTAAACCCAGTGCTTTTACAGTGAGAGGGTAAGTGCAAACAGGAAAATGTCAGGGCATTTTCAAACAGCTAAACCTGGCACTTACACTGGGAAACAAGAAACCCAATCTCAAGATGGGAGAAGAGTAATGCCCAAGGTTGTCTTCTGATCTTTGTGTGCTTACTGTGTCATGTGTGTATCTGTACTCACAAACACAAACACACATGCAAGCTCAAAGGACAAATAAAATTTACTAATGACATCCTAAAGGGAGTACCAAGGATATTTTACCTGATGTATTTATAATACAAAAAGCATCTTGTCAAGTTCTTCTTTGTAGGGATAATTATTATTTATTGTATGTAACTATGAATGATATCAATGTTTCTGAGTCCTCTGAAGGAATCTAGAAGTATTTCATTTTTATTGTTACTTATTTTTTAAATTTTTGTTCTGTTTTAAGCTTTAAAAATGGTGTTTGTGTGTGTCTGCTGTTCATGACACAGCATGGATATGATTGATGAGGACAATTTTAGGAGTTGGTTCTTTCTTCTACCTTATCAAAACAGGGTCTCTCATTTTTGCTGCTTTACTACCTACCTTATCAAAACAGGTTAGTTAGCCCATCAGCTTCTGAGTGATTCTCCTGCCTTTACCTCCCATCTCCACCTACAGGAGTGCTGGGATTAAAGATGCATGTAGTGAGATATTCACTTTATCTGCACCTGTGGCACAGACCACACCCATTGGGGGTGGAGACAGGGGTGGATGTTACCTTGGGGAACTAAGTCTGAGGAGGGGGCCTCTGAGAGCTCTCTTGCTTGCAGCACAGCACGGGGACAGAAGAGCATCCAGAGGCATCCTTGGGACCAGGAAGCTGCTGGTGATCACCTGTCTATGTTGTAAGTTATTTCTCCCTAAATAAACATCTATTCGGCCTATTTGTTTCTCCTGATCCTTATTAAACATCAATAGATACATACCACCACATTCAAATTAATGACATAGGTTCTAGGGTCAAACACAGGCCACCAGGCTTTGTGTTCTAAGTATTTTTTACAGGCTGAGCCATCTTCCTGAATCCCCCCACCCCACCCCCTTTCTCTTACAGATCTCATAGATGGAGCTGCTTTGCTACATGGGAAACACTCACACAGAAGCACTTAGTCTACAGATGGTTTCATGCCAGTTCTACAAGAACATGTATGTTATATGTTGGGCAAAATGGCAGTGTCTCTGTCTAGCTGTGCATCCACATCCTACCCCAGTCACTGTGTATGAGCTGACTGCACAGGTAGGTAGGAACCTGGCTATCCACTAGAAATATTAGTATTCCATAAAGTTCTGGGTGTTCAAAACACTGTTAAGTAAGACAAGCATAGGGCATTAGATTATAAGCATCTATGTATCTTACCTTGTCTTGCTGTGTATTCATTGTCTTCAATTAATCTTGCTAAGCCAAAATCTGCTATTTTGCATACAAGATTTTCTCCTACAAGAATATTAGCAGCTCGGAGATCTCGATGAATATAGTTCATTCTTTCAATATATGCCATACCATCAGCAATCTTAGGAGAAGAAGCAAAAGAAGATACAAAATATATGATGGAAAGGGAAGATGACACTTTTGGTTAAATTAAAGGAACTATTGAAAAATTAGGTATCTCAAAAAAGAAAAAAAAAATTAACAGTAACTGACCAGTACAAGAGGAAAAAAAAAACCCAAAAACAAACAAAAAAACAACAACAACAAAAAACAAAAACAGTAATAATAATAAAAAGGATAAATTAATCTTTATATCCGTAATACTGAAAGGCAAAATCAACACATATTTTGGAAGATGACTAGAGTATATCCAGTCATCACAATCAACATAGTGTTCTATTGTCTTCTTGTCAACGGTCAGAAGATGTCTACCACAAGAGGATGAAATATGGACAAAAACACACACAGTCCACACCAGACAGTCTAAGGCAACAAACTATAGCTTGTAAGTCAGATATGGCCACAGCCTGTTTTCATATGCATTTAGAAGTGTTTAAAAAATGGTGTTTACATTTTTTAAAGGGCTGTGAAAACTAATGAGACCCAAAAGGGTTTATACATGACTCACAAAGCCCACGCCATTTACCTAAATTTTTTATAAAAGAAGTCTGCCATTTTTCCAAAAGAAAATGCCTAAAAGCCTTGAACGCAGGTCTGACATATGCCTGTCTCCTCTGAAGTCTATATTATCAGGTGCTGTGGACTTTCACTGACAGGTAAGAGCTACAGAACCAAGCTCATAAACTGAAGTCAATAAATGGTGCCTTCAATACTTATCCACTAAACAAAAATTCAGAAGTACAAAAGACTAACTTTTTACCTATATCTCAGAATTCTTGTCTTGGACTATAATAATCATATTTCAGCATATATTTTCCAGGTTTTAATATTTGGAATAACCCTCATTCATCTTAATTTTCTTTTTCTTTCTTTCTTTCTTTTTTATTTTTGAGTAGGGTTTCTCTGTGTAGCTTTGAACATCTATCTGTAACTCCTGAGTGCTGGGATTAAAAGCATGTGCCTCCACCACCACTTGGCCCATCTTAAATTTATTTGCTGAAATATAAATACAGATTTTGTATTTGTGGAAGCAGTGTGTCAAAGCCATGTGATGCAGGGCAGCAGCACCTGACCAGAAGAGCTATAGCATTCTAATATTAGCTTTACTACTAAAGGGCTCACGCTGAACTATAAAATTCCAGTATTCATTTCAACAATTTTAATATTATGCTAAGATTTTTCTGCATTTTAAACACATGCTTTAGATTAAAATTGGTACATAAATATGCAACTACCTGAGCAGCCATATCAACCAGCTGTGGAAGCTTCAAATATTTTCCATCTCCTTCTTTAAGGAAATCTAACAAGCTCCCTGTAAGAGAGAGATATTCCAGAAAAATTTGAACATTAAAATGGAAATGAAAATTTTTCAATGCCTTAGACAAATCATCAAACCAGAAAACTGCTTCAGCATATATATGCACATATATGCACACATATGCATACATATATATGTGGTACTTTGGAACTATCAGAGATTCCAGAGAAGTCCAAACTAAAATTTTAAAACTTCTTGATAACAGATTATTAAGGAAAAAAAGTACCACTTTCCTATCCTGAGAGAAAACATCACCAGATTAGTTACCCTGACCCTCACACTGTGATTAAGACTGGAATATCATGGAGTAGTTAAAATTACTTTTTAGGTAGCTCATGCTGGCTTGGTGGATAGCTCTTGGGGTCAGGAAATGGCACTAAGGGGGGTAGCAAAGTATGATGAACTCAGCGAAGTGAAAGGTTAGGAAAGGAGGTCTGGTTGTTTCCTCTACTATGAGTTAAAAGCATACAACATCACATAAATCCAAACCAAGATACATTTTTATAAAAACAAAACAACAAAAATACTCATTTTCATAAGAAATGCTGAGAATTTCAGATTAAAAGACACAAAAAAGAGATGGTAGTGAATATTGGGCTTGAGCATGGATTTCACACTAAATCATGAAAGTATAAGTGGCAGAAAGACAAATTCTGAGTGGCTCAATGGTAGAGTGTGTTCGTAGAATGTACAACACCCTGGGTACAGCACAATAAAAAAACACAACATGGAAATCACGAGCAACAAGAAAATCTGTCTGTCACGATAGGTTTATGATAAAGCACATCAGGCAACAAGCTTTTATGGATTACAGGGGTCTACTGTTATGCAACTGAATATTAAAGTAAGGAATTACTTGATTTTAAAACCAGAAAAAAAACTCTCACCAAGAAATAATCTTAACCAAATTATGTCACAACACAGAATTCAGCCAAGATGGACTACTAGAGAAAGTGACATAATAGTAACTTATCTAGTCTGATTCAAAAATAAGCAAAGCAGTGGTACATGCCTTTAATCCCAGCACTTGGGAGGTAGAGGCAGGTGCATCTCTGAGTTCAAAGCCAGCCTAGTCTACAGAGTTCCAAGACAGCCAGGGCTACACAGAGAGCCCTGTCTCAAAAATTAAAATAAACAAAAAAGTAAAACATAATAAATTTAAAATAGGTCCAATTAAAACTGGGTAGATTCAGACTAATCAGTATCATTTCATCACTTACTAGCTCCTCTTCTAAAGCATCATTGACCTAGAAATAAAGAAGGAAGAGCATTAACCTTGCCTGGCCTTGCCCCTGGCTATAACTAGCATTTACATAAGAGCCCACCTGTGCCTGGGTTGGGAAGGATGAGAAATTTCAATTGACAGAAGGCGAGAACAGTTTCTGAAGTCCAGTCTGTAAGAACTGGGTTTATATAAAATAAGATTCCCTTTTGTATCTTTGCCTTAGGGCTATAGGTACAAGTTTACCACTTTGATTCAATCTGTCTACTATTTCCTTAAGTCAAACCTACTTTTAAAAGATTCAGTCTGTCTCATTTTCCTTTAAAGTCTCATAAGGTTCTGTGGGATAACTGGGAATAACCACTAGTCCATCAAAAAAAAAAAAAAAAATACCATAGTTTTTAAAAATTTATTCTAATGGAAAGACAATGGGTGTATCAATCACACCCCAGGGAGGGCTGCATGCTCAGGAATGGGCAACACAAATTGGACCCAGTATTTTTTAAATTTTATTTTGGGGTTTTCTCATGGTTTTTGCATTTTTTTTTTTTTTTTTTTTTTTTTTTTAAAGAGAAAGGATATAAAATTGGGACGTTGAATGGGTATCTGGGAAAGAATATGACTAAAGTATATTGTATGTTTTTTTTTTTTAAATCTAAGAAAGAACAGAAATGAAGTTGTTTAATTGCAACAGAACTGTGTAAAAGAAATTTCATATGTACATACCTTTTGACATAAACTCAGTGACAATATAAATTGGCTCTTCAGAAACAACTGCATATAGCGGAACAAGTTTATCATGTCTTAATTTTTTCATTATCTGAGCTTCTTGAAGGAAAGCTTCTGGCATCATTGTACCTGGCTTTAGTGTTTTGATTGCTACTTTTGTGGTTCCATTCCATGTTCCTAGGAAAATAATTTATTTTACTCTTTTAATATTTCTGTATCTGAATTTGTATTTCAAGAGATTTTAGACCAAAATTCAATCAACAATAAAAGTTATCCTACATATTCAAATACATAGTGTGGCTATTTTATCATATTTTGCTACTTCAATTTATGATTCCACAATAACAAAACGAAGTAATAACAAAGTTCATGCTTCTTACCCATCCACACTTCACCAAAGCATCCTTGACCTAGTTTAACCTCTAGTCGCAAAGATTCTCGAGGGATTTCCCAAGCGTCTTTTGCTAGACCTTGAGTCTGTGGTTTCACAGTTGGACACACAGTTGTTAACTTGTGACATAAACCATCAGCATGTTCTACATAAATGAACAAAATACAAGGGTACACTGTCAATGAATTACTTTCAAAGTGAAGACAATTAGTGTGTGTGTGTATATACCTATATATATGAATATACCAACTGAATAATTATATATACATATGTACACACACATATAAGTTAGGTAGTTTTTAAGACAGGATCTCACTAGGTAGTCCTGACCAGCCTGGGACTCACTAGGTAGACCAAGATGGCTTTGAACTCAGTGATTTATCTTCTAGAATTAAAGGGGTATGCCACCATACCTGGCTTATTATTTGTTTTTTTTTTTTTTAAACTTAAATCATTGAATTAAAATCAAAATCTTCTATCAGCTTTACTCTAAAGCTACATATATAATAGGAAGCTTTCTGTAAGAAAGGCATGTAGTATGTACAAGGAAAACAGTTTAGAAACACATTTTATGCTAATATTTATTGAATATATGTACTTATGTTATTGTGTCAGTCAGTATTATATAAATCTTTCTAGAAATTAAGCTTGGAGAAGAATTTGGAGACTTCAAAATTCTACTGTACTTTTTGGCATGTAGATAGGGTGTCTGAGACAAGGTCTTGCTATATATTCTAGGTTGGACTTCAATTCAGTTCTTTCTGCCTTAGCCTCTTAAATGCTGGTATAACGGGCCTGTATCACAGCTTAAAGCTCTGCTTAAACCACTAGGATACATGTATTCCCCCCCAGGGGGGGCATCAATAGTTGCTATTTCTAATAATTACTAATTTGTACAACTGAAAAATCAAGGAAGAAGTTGATGTAGGTGATTGAATTTTAAATAAAGAAGACCTAAGGCAGCCAGAAGATACATTTCCTCCCATTCTTACCAAGCAACCACTCAAATTCACATTCTAACAAGGGCAATTACAAGTAATGCCAGCTTGGTGACATGTTCCATCAATATCAAGCTTACTGACTGACTTCACAGTTTCAGTTTGCTGCTAGCTGTCTCAGAAAAAAAATTGCTATGGAAACTTCCTCTCTTGTAGTACTAATTATTTAAAGACTTTCAGATGCATTTACATATCCAATTGTCAATGAAAAAATTTAAGATACAAGACTTCAAGATATAATACTTTTCAGAGGTCCTTTAAAGACAAAAATGTCTATAGCTGGTATAGGTTCATTTTCTTAAATAAGAAATAGCATCTTCAAATTGGATTTTGTAGACTTTATATTTTAGAAAGTCTTAAAAGATTCAGCATCTACAGAAGGAAATCAAAAAAGATATATGAGTTTCAGACTCTATCCCTTTCTTTTTTTGCAGTGCTGAGGAAGGAACCTTGGCACGTGTAAGTATTTTAGCACTAAGTTATAATCCTAGCTCTGAGGTAGCTTTTTTATATTACAAGTTTAATTTTAGCTACTTAATATACATAAGTATTTCCTGTCATGTTTTCTAATTTACTGCCACAATCTATCTTAGCATTTATACATTATGACCCAAAACACCAATGCAAACACTATGCCAGTAAAGCATAATGATTCCAACTATAGTTTGATTTGAACATGCTATTCAACAATCCAATTCATGGTCCTGATATGTTGCCTGGGTGATATGTGACTCTTATTTCTCATTTTGAAATCAAAGCACAGTGCCAGCAAGATTTCTCAGCTGTTACTTGGGGCCAAGCCTGACAACTTAAGTTTTAGCCACAGGACCCACATGGTATGAGGAGAGAAATGAGTCTCTAAGTTGTTTCCTGATAGTCACATCTGTACCACAGCATGCATGTGCATACACATGTTTAAACGCACAAACACTAAATAAAAATTTTAAAAGAAATAAAAAATTCCAACCCAGAACACCAACACCTACTGGGAACTTACTGTGTGTAAATATAAATGAGCATTATTAAAGCTTAAGAGCAATAGAGTTGTTCTCACAAAATAGAGCATAAGGGATTAACTCCCACCAGAGAAGTGCTCCCCTACCTGTGTAGTGCTTCACCAGTTTCTGCAGAGTATCAAACTGAGCTCTGGTTGTGATGTAGTATCCACCATTGTCAAGTTTCCTGATTTTGTAATGCTTCACATTGTCACCTCTTACCTCATCCCAATCACGAATTGAGAGGGAATAAGCACCTGGGGTGGGGTGGAAGGGGGCAGAGAGAAACATGTTCATGCCAGCTTCCTCAAACTATGCCTAAAGTATGTTATGTACATATTAATCTAATAGTCATACCTTTAGTGGTTTCACTTTCCCTTACTAAGAATATACCTCGCTGATTCCCAGGATTCAGAAGTAATCTTTCGGCATCTTTTCTACCCATTTTGCCAAAATACCATCTGAAAAACAATTAATGATGTTTTGAGTTAAAAAGATATGAGGATCAGAAAAAATTACACACATGTGTCAATAAGGCAGGGACAGGTGGATAGATCTCTGTGCTACAAGAAACCCTGTCTTGAAAAACAAAAAACAAAACAAAACCCAAAACAAAAGTATTAATGTTAGATCAAATATAAAAATATTAACTGTGAGCTGGGCAGTGGTAGTGCATGCCTTTAATCCCAGCACTCAGGAGGCAGATCTCTGTGAGTTTGAGGCCAGCCTGGTCTAGGGCAAGTTCCAGGACAGTCAGGGATACATAGAAAAACCCTTTGGGGGTGGGGGGGAGGATTAAATAAATAAATAATAGAAAAACCAAACCACACAAACAAAAAATATGAAACTGTGGAAATATGTTCTAATAGCTTTTCCATATACTATCCATTTGTGTCTCTTAAATTGCACTTACCAGCCAGAAAACCAGTAAACAAAAGGAAAGACAGAAAATACATATAGAAAAATCTGTCAGTGAGAGGGAATTAATTCTTTGGAAGCAAGTATGATCACCTGTATTCAGTAAAATGCAAGTAGATCATACTAAAATTATAGGGAACTCCAAATTTGTGTGAATTTGATTTAATAAAGCCTAGTGAGAAAAAAATGATAGTCAGTGCTGTGGGAAAGTTCACAGAATACTGAAGACAAAGAACCAAACAAAGAGTAACAGTCATAGCAGAAAATGAGCATGGTGTGATAATTCGTATCAGTAAAAACAAATAAGCATCACAAATGTATTCTCTGTGCAAGATGAATAGAAGTCATGGAGTGCAAAAAAATGAGTTTTAAAAGTAGGCAGAAAAATAAAACAAAGGGACTACATACAATGATGAATGAATAATCAGATTTACTTACTGTGTGTCTCTGAGCAGACACATATTAATTATTAATTCTCAAACAGCACTTATTAACATGATACATTAGCTGTATAAAGACTGGTATATAACTATGTGTAAAGTTGTGGTTAAGTAGAATGTGCATTAAGACATTTTAAAAGTCAAAATAATTAATAAAATATGAAGTAGCATCATACTCTTCTGCCTGAATGGAATCTGCAGGTGCCACATAATTGCTAGGGATATAACCATTCTTTCCGGTAGCAATTGATCTTGCTTCCCACCAGTCTCCTTCCCTGCAACACAAAAAAAAAAAGAAAAAAAAAAAAAGAAAAATGCATATAAATAAAAAAACAACAATCACTATAATTAGAACCTTAAGAAGTAATTCTTATCTCAAGAGAAGGGAATCACTTCTATTTTTAATCTGGATTTTTTATGGATTAATCAAAGAGCTGAACTCAAAAGAACAGTATTATTAAAAGGTAATGAGATCAATTAAGGGAATTAATCTGCATCTACCTGCTCTACACCAACAGTAATAACAGAAAACCTCTAAATACTGCACACTTGAATTCTACTTACCTTTTTCATGTTAATTCTTTCAACTAAAGCTAGTAAATTATGCTGAATAAAGAAATTTACTGAATTTTAAATAAAATTTTATAAGTGTGAGTTTTCATCTGTATGCCATATACACCTCTCACCTTTAAAGGATAACATTTAAGGGTAGTAATATACTCAAGAGTTGTACAGTCATCAAAATAATACATTTTAGAACATTTTGCTCCCATTAAAAACCCTGGGCTGGAAAGATAGCTCAGCAGGTGATGAAGGTACTTGCCACTCAAGCTGATGGCCTAAGTTCAATTCCCAGAGCCAGTGTAAAGGGGGAAGGTGAGAACTTTCCTTCTATACCAAGTTGTCCTCTGGGCTTCATATAAGTGCCTCCACACATATCATACATACACTAATAAATAAATGAAGAAAATAAAGTTAGATAGAAAGCCTATGCCTACTAGTCACTCCCATTCTCTCCAATCTTTATGGATATGTTTGTTGTGACTACCTTCTTAGAATAATGTTCACCCATATTTAGCCTGTGTCATGTTAATTTTTTGTTATTGTTACCAAATGTCTCCTTCTTAATAGCATATAAAACGGTAACACTTTTAAAAGTCACCTTAGGAATAAGAGATTTTAGCATTCTTATAAGCCAAAAACTTAACAATGAGTAGTAACAATCCAAAGTTGAATTTCTAGAGCTGGTGAAATGGTTTATTGGGTAAAGGCACTTGCTGCTAAGTCTAACAACCTGAATGATCCCCAGTCCTATGGGAAAGGGTGGTGGGTGGGCAGAGAACCTATTTCTGAAAGCTGTCCTCTGACTTCCACACATTTCCATGGTACATGTACATGCCCAAATGTGTGTCTCTCAACATAAGTAAAAAATTTGTCTGTCTCTTTCTCTTACAATAAGTAAAACTACTTCTTTAAAAAAGCTGAATTCCTAGTGGTGGAGGCATAAGCCTATGATCCAGTATCTAGTAGGTAGGGGCAGAACAGTGAGCTCAAAATCAGATTAGGCCATATAGCAAAACCCTGATTCAAACAAAAAAAAAAAAAAAAAAAAAATGTATGTTTCTAAAATGTCATTAAAAACCTAGTATCAAAAAATCAGCAAGACTAATATAATTCAAAATATGAGAACTGTATATTGTTTAGAATACATTAACCTTGGCTCTTCCAAAATTCCTATGAAAAGTATCTCTAATAAGATATACAAAGATATATATGATTCTCTACTTAAGAGTACATGTAGTTCATACTGAAATTTTTATAAATGTTCAAAGTGAATTATTCTCTTAAAAATGAATTAAGAAATCTTTTTGATAATTTAACTATTTGCAAAAAGATACTTTGGTTAATGCTATCCTAGAATACATTAAGTCCTTTCTCATACATACTTGCATACACACATACATATATATACACACACATACACTATAGCCCTGGCTGGCCTAGAACCTGTGGTAATCCTTCCTTAGACTAAAACTTTGTATTTGACTCTCCTAAGCATTCTTTGTATCATTCAGAGTGTTACTTAAGTGTAAGGCAAACAGCAGTCCTTAAGCTCAAGAACTGACTCTAGAGCAGGGATGGCAATTTTAATGGTAATAACAACACTCAGACACTTTGGATTTGATGAATGTTAGTCATGTACATAACAGGATTTTACCAATATCCCTGGTGATAGTAGTCACACTCTGACCCTGTGACAATCAAAAACATCTCTAGACACTGCTAAATACCTTCTGTGTGATTTTGCCCCAAGCTGAGAACCACTGGTTTAAAAGAATGACAAGTCAATTTAAAAACTGTAATTTACAATGTGATGACAGCCATGACTGAGATTTGTAGAGCATCATGTAAACACCCAAGAGAAACACTTCATAGAGTATGGTGTGAGAACTACGCCAGGCAGGAGAGGAACCACTGAAAAGGACAGAGGAAATATCTTTTAAAGGATGAGGAAGGCTAACTCGAGAGGGGAAAGAAACAAGGGATCAAGTATAGCTTAGGGATAGAGCACAGGCCTCTCATGCTTGAGGCTCAAGATTCTATCCCCATCTCAAACAAGCATCCCCCAAACAAAGAAAGAAATAGATCAAAAGTCATTCCAGAAAAAGAAATAGTATTGTGAAGACATGAAGAGGGCGAGAAACTATCGTACTCAAAATACTACAGCTACTTCAGTACATCCGTGTAGCAGAATGAGAAAGGATAGAAACACAGGGCAAAGTCTTGATGGATGGTGATGGTTGTTGTTGTTGCTCTTTTAAAATTTTCATAGCCACAGTTAGCTATTGAAGGATCTTAAGGTAGAGAAACACAATCATAGTTTATGTTCTGGAACAGTAAGTGGTAACAGATGGTAAAAAAAGGATGGAGGGAAACATGACTAGAAGCAAAGAAGACCATAAGTACATGCTTTGAGAAGTTACAAAGTGGTTGTTATGCTTGCTAATGAAATTATGAAATATGCTGCATAACAAGCATCAAATTTTCTATGTCAGATCGCTAAATGACAAAGTCTAAGAGTAACAAGAAAAACACAATTTGGTAAGTTTCTGTGTACAAGGGTTCCATATTCACCCTGCCCTCCCAACAAACAGGGTTTTAAAGTCATCTGGTATTTATATAAATATAGATTTTATTTCTTAAAAATCTATTATAAGGGGCATCATTTTGGAGAGGGGAACTTGGTAAGTATGTAGTCTATGCTGACCTGGAACTCAAAATGTAAACTAGACTAGGCTCAAACTCAAAATCTTCTTGTCTTAGCCTCTCTAGTACTGGGATTACAGTTATATGCCATCACACCTAGAACTCTTTCTAGGAGTTATGTTTACAGACTAACCCCATAAGCACAATTTGTAAAAGTAGTAATTTCTACTTATAGCAATATATTACCCAATGTGTCTCAAGTAACCCAAGGACAAAGACCCATACCCCACCACTCTCATCTCCATATCATCCAATGTAGAGGCCATGCTCCTCTCTTATAAAACATACACAAAACTTACGTATTGTTAATTATTTGAAATCTTTCACCCTTCTTAAAGGAAAGGTCTTCTGTAGTTCTAGCTTCATAATCATATAAGGCCACAAATATAGTGACACCACCTGGCACAGGAAAAAAAGATCAAGGTAAATGATATACCTGAATGTATGAAAGAAATAAACAATTATTGCTAGTAAAAGCTTAGGCTCAGTTTCCTCCTTGCTCTAGTATTTATTTTTTAGAAGCTGGATTTTGGTAAGTTGTTCTCCTAAGGCTTTCTGTGAAACCACTGTACTGTATAAATTCTAAAATTCTATAAACTCTGAGAGGAATGTAATTTCACATCTGAAGCAACATTTCTGGCTTGAAAAGGCAGCCACATTGCAGATTAATTCTCAAGGAGGGAAAGCACACAGACTACTGACATCTGTCTTCAATACCTTATCACAAACATGAAGACATTTCCATCTATAACCATTAACAGCAATCATGGTTTTCATTAGGTTCACTTTATACATAAAAATGAAAATGTCATTATTTGTCTTAAAGTTAAGGGTATAGCTAATATGAATTACATGGTATAAATTTTAAAAAAATGGTTGTAAGATCTAGCAATGAATGAACATAGTTAAAGGATAAACATATTTCATATCTAATCTATGTAATCAAAATAACAGAGCACATATCAACAGAAACAGCCACCACTCACTAGGAATGCCAACATCAGAAACTACCTTCCTAACCTGCTTCACTATCATCCATTCTTCACACAGCTACTAGAATGAGTTTTAATTACTTTTCAAATTTTGTTTTTTATTTGAGTGTAAGCCAATATGTGCAGGTACCTCAGAAGGCCAGAGGAGGGTGCTATGCTGGAGTTAGAGATGGTTTTGAGCTGCCTGATACGGATACTTGGAACCAAACTCAGGTCCTCTGGGAGAGCATCCAATGCTCTGAACTGCTGAGCCATTTCTACAGTCCCTAGAGTATTTCAGAAGAGAAAACCCAACAAGCAAAATCCTTACCTTAAATCTTAAAGCTTCTTTCTAGCTTTGAATAACACCCAAACCCTTTCCTACAGTCTACTGTCCTGAGTAATTATAGTGCCCTGCCCAACATCCTAGTCTTGTACAATTCTCCCATTTGTATTCATTGGTCTTCAAAAGCTCCAAACATATTTATACTTCTTGAACTTTGTGTTTGCTAATTTTGTTATTTTGTTTACTTTCCCCCTAGCTCTAAAAATAGGTCATTTCAAATAATTCCTTCTCAAGGTGCCAACCATATGGGCTTTACCAATCATCTTGTTTTTACCTTCACAATACTTAAACACTACTGATCACTTTGTTTAGCTGTTCAGTAGCTTTGTTTATGTTGCTTACCTCTCTACTCTTAAGGCTATTAAATGAATACCCAGGAATGGATTAATTCAAATAAATAAATTGCTTTTTAAGTATTGGGAGTGGATCTTGTAAGAGTTGGGGGGAGGCTTGTGGAAGGTGAAAATGATCAAAATACACTGTATGCAAGTATGAAATTAACAATGAATAAAAATACAGTGCTATTAAAAAATTGCCTTAAGTAACTAAAAAATGTCTTCTTGTATCAACACTTATTTACTCTAGCCATTGTTAATTATTACATTTCCCAAATAATTTCAAGGCTTGTGTGTTAATTATCAGAAATAGCACCACAGTCACTGGTTGGCCAAAATTAGAATTGTGATCAACTGTGATGTCTACCACTGTCCATACGCTATCAAATAGGTCTAGTGTATATTGCAGTCCTCTGGCTACTTCTACTGGTCAAGAAATAAGGAGATTGAGGAAAACAAATCCATGCTTATAGAAGAGATTTCCTCTTTTTGCCTCCATTGATTATTAATAAGGACATGAGCCAATCCATTTGCCCTTGATACCTGTTTATACCCAAGGCTAAAGTGGGCACTCAAAAGATTAAAGGAAAGAGATAAAGAAAACACCATGTCTTGCTGACATCATGGAACTCTCACATCAGGGAATCCTGTAGCTCACTCTTTTCTGAACAAAGTATGCTTTGTTATTTTAAGAGAAAAGCATCCTAATGTAGGATGCTGAGCAAAAGAGCTTATTTTCCTTTTTAAAATTACCTGATTCCACAGCAAGATTGTCAACTATTATTTCTTATCATCCTCTGAAAGGAAGTGACAATGTAATAAATGGAGTTCTGGACTAGGGTACTAAATCTGTTGCTTATCAACTGTGACTCTGGAAGAAAACGATCTGAACTCTGAGGGTCAAGATTTTCCTTTCTAAAATCAGTACCTGGCCAGAAAGATGGCTTAGCTAATAAAGGTATTTGCTGCCAACACTGATGGCTTCAGTTCAATCCCCAGAACCAATATGGTGGAAGGAGAGAACTGACTCCTGCAAACTATCTCCTGACTTCCACATGTACACTACCAGGCATGTAAAAGCACACACACAAAATAAATAAATTCAATAAACTCAGCATCTGCCAGAAACAGTGTGTTATTATTACCAAACTGACATATAATTAGCATTTATTAAATAAATAATATAGCACTCTACAGTCTGGAAGAGCTAACAAATTGCTGGAGTAGGGAAAGAAGGATGTTTTTAAATCTCTGTATCCCCACATAGTAGATCTCAATAATCACCTAGCTAATGAGTTAATGAAACAATCTGTGGTATAATTCAGTAAATAGTCACTATTAGTTATCATCAAATTTCCTAGAAACCTATCATGTAAATATTAAAGACTTCAGAGCTGGAGATACAGTTCCATGGTTGCCTAGCATGTTATGTTAGAGGCCTCACTTTTGATCCCCAGCTCTACAAAAAAAAAAAAAAAAAAAAAAAAAAAAAACCCAGAAACAAAACCTAAAAATTTGAAGGTATGGCTACACAGTCACACTGCCCTTTGTTACAGACTTTATTTGCTCAGACAATTTTTTTGGAAATATGCTAATAAAAAATTTTTCCTAACAGCAGCCAGACCTGAAGTATTTAAAGTCCAAGATTATATTTTTTACAATTGACCATTTAAATCTCACCTGTTAAACCTGTAGGATATGAACTTGGCACCACTGAAAATGAGGAAGATGCTCCTCCAAAAGGAGTTACTCCAGAGGACCCTCCAAATGGTGTCATGGAAAGACTGTTAAAATTGACCAATGATCCCTTTGTGGAAGAGGTCGGGGTAACTGTAGTATGTTCCGTTCCATACTGACTTGCACTTGTGCTTACAGGCTCTGGAGGGTTTTCCGGTGTATATTTAATGGCTGGACTTTTGTTTTCTTTACTTTTAATGCAGCCCATTATCAAATCTGCAGAGGCAATAAGGCAAGTATTTGAGAATTAGTTAACATACAAGGAACTTCAAAAAGATACAACTGAGCCTGGCAGTGGTTGTGCACTTAAAATATAACCCCAATACTTTTACTGCTAGCTAATTCCATTAATTTAAAATTGGGGTCATGCCCATCAATTCTCTCCCTAGCACCCCACAGGTCTTTCTAGAACAGCCAGGGCTACATAATGAAACCCTGTCTCAAAAAATAAATAAATAAAGTAATTTTTTAAAAAAGAATTCATGTATTAGAACTCACTGCTTTATAACAGTGTTATTACCATGCTAAATTCATTTAAAAATAGTACTTTACATCCAGGCAGTGGTGGCACATGCCTTTAGTCCCAGCACTCAGGAGGCAGGCAAATCTCTGTGAGTTTGATGCCAGCCGGGTCTACAGAGTGAGTTCCAAGGCAGGCTCCAAAGCTGTCTAAAATAAATTAACCAACCAATTAGTTAATTAAAAAAATAAATTAAAAGTATTTTACATAATGATAGTAATTTTTATCTCCCAAGTTTCATTTCCCACACAATTCTAACCTGTTACTAGAAGTAGACATATCTGCTATATATTACAAGAGGAACCTGGAGCTGAGGAAAGCTCTCTTCTTACAGATGTGGCTGAGTGGAACCCAGTTTTCGGCCTTCTAAACTACATGTTTTCCCACTATTCACACACCCTTTAGGGAATCCTCGTGTATATTTTATGTTCATAATGTTCATAGACAAGTTATTAAATATTAGCTTTCAACAAACATCAATAAATAGGGTAATTTTATTGGCTGCTAGCTTCACTATTCAATCAATACAAATCCTCTTACTTTGAAAACAGCCTCCCACCTCTTGCCAGGAATTTGTCCCTTTATTAGTAGTAATAGAGACTAAAAACTCTCAGACTTAACACCTTTGAACTTTCAAAAAGGATTTAAATACACATTCTTCCCAATTTTAGCAAGCTAACCAATTATGACATCGTATGTTATAACCAGCTAGAGGATGAAGTTGTAGTTTGGCATTTTGCCCAGATAGCTCTAGTTTACAACAACGTTCTAAATCTTTAAGAGAGCCTTCAGAAGGGTAAAGATTAGGTAGAGTATATGACTAATGGGTTCAGTCTCCAGTATTGTTAAAAACATCAACAACAACAACAAAAAAAAAAACAAAAAAAAACCTACGGAGATTAATTTATAAACTTATTTTAAAAGTCATAAAACAAGCATCTCTACCAGTCAAGCAATTCAATGGGTTATAAATAGTCAATGATTTTTCTCTGGTTTCATTTTAAAACCTCTTTTAGAACAAAGCACAAAGGACAGGAAGGACCATAAAACAGAAAACATGGAGAGAAGGAAGTGGTAGACTATTGTGGGGTGTGTACACTGTCTACTAAAAGCAAACAAAGAACTTAACTTTCCAAGAGTCAAAGAACAGAAAATGTGATCTACAGAAAAATGAGTTTGCAGGATTCACTCTGGGAATAAGCTCCTCCCCTCACCATACACACTTTAAATACACAAACAACTGACCTTGAAGAAATAAGCTTTCATATGCTAAGTACCTGGAGCTTCCTGGTTTCTTTTCAGATCTTCCTGCCTCCACTTACCATGCACTGAGATTCAGGACAATGCCACAATGCCCAGCTCATGGCTTCTTTAATGAAGTCTTTGATAGACTGCCAAGAGAAGTACCTGACCTGATATACAGTATGCAAAGAACTATAAATCATTCATAATTTATTTTCTGCTGTGAGGTATAAGTTTAAAAAAACTTTCAAGTTAATGTAAAGCCTCAAGATCTAAAAATCTTACAATTATTCTGCTAAAGGAACAAAGCAATAAAATGACTCTTAATGACATCCCACTATACCCACAGATCAGTGTCTCATTCAAGTCACCAGAGAAGCTTCTACAATAGATGAAAACTAATGCAGAGACCCACAAATAGACAATATGCAGAAAGTGAGAGACCTTGAAACACTAGTCTTAAATGGGATGCCTTCATCAAGCCTCTCCTCGGGGCTTGGGGAACTATATAGAAGAGGAGGCTGAAAGAATGTAAGAGCCTCTGGAAAAAAAAAACGAGAGAGAGAGGGGAGGGGGGGAGGGAGGGAGGGAGGGAGAGAGGGAGAGAGGGAGAGAGAAGAAGCCAGAGCAGATGAATGACCAAGGAAAACAGTATCTTACAGACACAATAGGACTGTTGCACATATGAACTCAGAGAATGTAGCAGCATGTGAGGAGCCTGCACAGGTCTAACCAGATAGGATCCCAGTGCTAAGAGGGGGAAGCAGACATCAGCACCCATTCCTATCCAAGAAGACAATCTCCAATTGACAACTGCTCAAACAGGAAAAATTATTGTAGATATACAAACCAGACTTTAAGAGTAGGTCCCAGGCTTAGTAGTAGATGGGCAACAAAACAAACTGAGATGTAATTTTGGACTTCTTCTGTGGTTTCATTTGGGTGTTTATTGCCTTATCAGTCATTTGTTAGTATATTATGGTTTCTGATCTTGCATTTTATAGGTTTTGTTTTGTTCTTCGAGACAGGGTTTCTCTATATTGCTTTGGAGCCTGTCCTGGAACTAGCTTTGTAGACAAGGCTGGCCTCAAACTCACAGAGATCCACCTGCCTCTGCCTCCCTAGTGCTGGGACTAAAGGTATGTACCACTAATGCCTAGTTTCATTTTATGTTTTATATGTGTGTTTCTTGTCCTCTTTGTTTTTGTTGTTGTTTATTCATTCTTTTTTATTCTTATTTGCTTGTTTTTGGGTTTTTTGGCCTGTTTTCTTGAGAGAGAGAGACAAGAAGGCATGGAGTTGGAAGGGTGGGAAAGTGGAGAGGATATGGGATGGGAAACCAATCAGAATATATTGTATACATTGTATAAAAGGTCTGAGTGGGTGGCACAAACCTTTAATTCAGCACTAGGGAGGCAAAAGGATCTCTAAGTTCTATACCAGCATGGTCTATAGAATTCCAGGCCAGTCAGGGCTACCAAAAAAAAAAAAAACAAAAACTGTTTTGGGGGAAAACAACAAAAAAAAAAAAAAACTTAACAGATCTTTAATTGACAACTATGGGAACAGAATTAATTACCTTCAGTATGACTTCAATCATTAGAAACAATTTGTTACACTTCTGGGTATCAATCCATCAGATTTATCCCATTTTTGAGAATTTAAGCTAATTTAACATCTATAAGAACATTTTAAAAAATAAATTTTTTAAAACTTTATTTAAAATAAAACCTTGCAAATAAAAAACATTACATACCATAATTAACCTAACCCATAATCTATACAATTTAATCAACTTAGCCAGTAGAATTGGCATTTGAATCAGAAGCTGTGAAGCTTCCCACTAAATTTTACACTTTCAGCATCAAATATATTTTATGCACTTATCCACCACCAAAACCAATGTCTATGACAGAATTAGAATAAGAAAAAAAAATCAGTTTTATACCCTTCTATAATTCATGTCTAGTGCTTGCATTCAATCCTGCATCCCCTTATATTTAGCTTTCCTTGTTTTCTTCATGTTATACTGTACCTACATGTACAATTGTTTACATTTATATATATGTATTATTGGCAGAAAGGTTACTGAGGCAGGAGGATCTTAGGCTACATAGGATTACCCTATCTTTTTTTGGGGGGGAGAGGGGTTAAAGACAAGGTTTCTCTGTGTAGCCCTGGCTGTTCTGGGACATGGCTGGCATTGAACTCAGAGATCAGCCTGCCTTTGCCTCCCTAGTGTTCTGCCACCACTGGGCTAGTTTTAAAATTGCTTGATGTTTTAATAGCTAAGCATGTTAAGAGATGTTTTTCTCAACTTAAAATTTCCATTAAGAAAGTTCTGTCCTGTTATCAATACATTAAACACATAAAAAGTTGGGGTTTGTATATATTAGGTGTTCACTAAATGGCTACTATTCAACTTCTTTAGCTTTTATCAATCTAATAAAATTCTACAGATATCTACAAATTAAAAAGATAAAGCAAGTTCCAATTTTACTTTTTAAATAGGTTTTCTTCCTAAAAGTTAACAGAATAGCATATGCAAGCAATTGTTTTCCAACTATTTGTTAGAAAAGGACACAACCTTACTTTTTAAAAAGCAGTCTCATATCAGCTAAAACAGCAAAACCTATTAGATTCTGCTATGGTTTGTGATGGTTAATTTTAATTGTAAGCTTGACTCAATCTCAAATCACCTGGGAAGTGAAAGCTCAGGTGAAAGCAACTGTGTGTGTGTGTGGGGGGTTGTTTTAACAGAGGTGGAAAGACCTGTCCACTGTGAATGGTAAGTATTCCTTGGAAAGGAAATGGTTAATTTATTTCAGTTTACACTTCTATATAGCTGTTCATCATCATAAGAAGTCAGAAGAGTAACTCAAACAGTACAGAAACCTGGAGGTAGGAGCTGATGTAGATAGAGGTCATGGAGAGGTGCTACTTATTGGCTTGCTTCACCATGGCTTGCTCAGCCTACTTTCTTATAGTACCCAGAACCATCCACAATGGGCTGGGCCTCCCCCATCAATAAATAGAAAATGCCCTACAGGCTTGTGTACAGCTCAATATTATGAAAGCATTTTCTTGAGGTACCCTCCTCTCAGATAACTTGATTGTGTGTCATTTTGAACAGTACTATCCTCATGGTAGGAAATCCTTAGAGAGAGTTGTGTGTGTGTGTGTGGGGGGGGAGTCCACCACTCAAGAGGCAGAGACAGGCTGATCTCTGAGTTTGAGGGCAGCCTGGTCTACAGAGTGAGTTTCAGGACAGCCAGGTTTACACAGAGAAACCCTGTCTTGAAAAATAAAAACAAAGAAACAAAAAAGTAGAGAGAATTAAAGAGTGGCAAAGTGCAAAGTGAACTGAAGTAAGTACATACACACCCACCCTTTGCTTCTGATGATGACTGTCACTCTGATAGCTCTGCTATGGTGGACTATAACCTGGAACTAT